TGTTTTAGTAGCATTTGGCCACGAGTGATGATCCGCTTTTTGTAACGCTTTTAAGACCATGGTGCACGTTTAGCAGCGTTTAGCCCGTTTTGCTATCTGCTTGCCGATGAAGGCCAGTAAACATAACTGCGGGCAAGTGCCTTCATCCGGTTGATCTTAGGATGCCTGGCATGGTATTGCCAAATAATGCCCCTCTTAATGGCCTTGGGGATGACTACTCTTCCCGAAAACAGTATGCAGTCGTTCACAATAAAGAACAAATGCCTTCTCCTGTAGTACTGTTTCAACTCTACAGATGAACATGAATTTGACCAACTCATTTTTTGGTACTGCGCGAATTTAAAGTACTGGGTCCCAAAAGCTTTCGGTTCGTACAGCTCCTATGGTAACTGAAAGATCTTAAAATGCATCACTTACCCGACAGATGATGTCACATTCGCTCTCGACCTAGGCAGTGACTGTGTCCTTGTGTTTCTGCTGGTGGGGATCAATTAAACATAACAGTGCATCCGATTGACCAATGAAAATTGTTATCTGATAGTGGATCTCGAAACCATGCCTCATTAAGGTAAAACCACAACATTGTAGACTGGGATGCTTTTTCCCAACCAGAGATAGCCGGCAAGGACCTTTGATCTGCCAGAAGCTTGAACTGGCGGTCGTATAGCATTTTGTGGAATTTCTGGACCGCGTACACTATGGGCAATGCTTCGCGCTCTATCTGGCTGTAATTGCTCTCGGCCTGCATAAGGCCACTGGCGGCAAGGGCGATAACTTTATGAGATACATACGATTACGTGTGTAAAATTACTGCTCTCGTCCCCTGGCTTGATGCATCTGTGGCTGGGACCATCTCTTCAGTGGGATCCAAATGAGTCAAAAGCAAGTTTGAAGACAGCAATGTTTCGACACGTTCGAATGCATTCTGGCATTTTGAGGTCCAGTTCCAATTTTGGCCTTTAACTAGTAGCTTGTTTAGCGGGACATGTAACCAGTGAATGTCAGACAAGAAAGCGCTGTAGTAGCTGATAAGCCCACTAAAGGAACGTAAAGACGGTAGCTCCGTTGATAAAGACAATTTTCTGCTGGCTTCTACGTTTGCCGGATCTAGTTAACGTCCATCCTTTTCAAGGGTAAAGCCGGGATATTTGGCGATCAACGTGAAATATGTGCCTTTGTCTTCACGGATCCAGAAACCGTACAATTGTATACAAGCAAGCTCTCCATCCAGCCGGTTAAATAGTTTTTTGGTGTTCGACCCATCATTGATATCATCCAGATACGCAACAGCTCCAGAAGCATCTGCTACCATTGTATCCAGCAACTGTTGGAAAATGGCTGGCGGCGTTTACACATTATGGGGCAAGCGGTTGTTTTGGAATAGCCCACGATTGATGTTAATCGTCAACAACTCCACGAGTCAGAAAACATCCCCTTAACGGTAGGCATCGGACAGATCAAGCTTAGCAGATCACATATTACCATCCAGTTATGCAAATTTAGCTTCCGGTACGGGTAATGTCGATCGTTCAGCGCGGCGTTAAGTGCAGTTGAGAAGTCAGCGCAATTGCTTTCTTCAATGTGAAAATAGGTGCAGCCCATGATGAGTAGTTGACGTCTGTGCTGACTCCGGCTCGTTCTAGTCGATCGAGTTATTGATCAACGGTTGACGTGACTGCATATGGCGCCGGTCGTTTAGCCTTGAATACTGGTTTAGCACCTGATCGCAGGCTCAGCGTTGTCTTGAATTTCGTACAATGGCTTAAACCATCCAGAAAGATAGAAACACATATTCGCTTAAGCGAACGTGTCACGTATTTGACGGACTTTGATGGTGGCTCTGGATTTGCTCGGACTCGGTTGTAGGTCTGATTCAATGGAACATGGAGGTGGTTTCAATTTTTAATCTAATCGAGACAAAGAAAATTCAAATTCGGCTGGTCTGAAATGTACCACGTTCCAGACTCTTTCACACTTTTGAAGCACACTTTCAAGTAAGTTTTCCCACTAAGCTTGACACACTGTCGGATGCATTAGGCGCACCATTGTGTGGCTCGACTATCTTTAGACTCTATGTGATTCCATCTTTCCTGGAAATAATTGTGATACCCAAAGCCGTGTTAAATCAGCGTTTCGTTAGGATAACATTAATGAACACGCTGATAAATCGTCATCTCTGTTTTCACCCACTTTGGAATGCAGCGAATACGGAGAGAGGTACTGAGCCATCCTTCCTAAAATTTCTCTTCTGATAATACGTCTTCACGTTCTCCGGCCAGACCTGACTGCAGAATTCCTCCTTAGGCCCCCGCTTCTGTAAAGTTTGACAAATATGACGTTTGAACAGACAAAGGCGCGCAAAATGTCATTCGCCGCATGACCATCATGCTGTGCGTGGTTTGTTCCTATACCTCTTGAAGGGTTTGCTCTAGCTGACATTCCTGGACGTTTTCATGGAGTGCACGGGATCTGGCGGTGCTAAACAATTCCGTTCAATCAGAGAAGTGTCTTGTTTTAGAGTAAGAAGCCGGTTGCACTCGTTTACCAGCGTCTTCAGTGTCAGATCGAGATTTCGATCTAGATTAGCTAAAAGCTGCGTGAGGATCAAAGCATCTCTGGCGGGCAGTAGGGCGCTGACGAAAATGAGACACTTAAACTGATCGTCCGTTAAAGAGCATATCTTGAAACGCTCACCCTTACGGTTGATCATGCCTACTAGCAAACTAAAGTCGCCCAATTCTTGTTTGAAAAATTGCAGGCATTGATAGCAAATATTAAACAAGGATACCGACTCATCAAAACTTTCATTGGGATGCACCACTGCTTTTTCAAACGTAAGATTGTTATGCTGTTTGAGTAGAATGTGGTTCACGAACCTTGAATGTTAACTTGTTTCGAGCTCGTGGAGTAGCAACTTGCAGTAGTCGTCCTGACAAATGAAGTCCGTCCGGAACATGTTTTCCCACTGCGGAGACGGCGCTTGGAAAGTTCATCCAGAATCCGCAGCGTAATTGAATTCAGTGATGGCATTTGTAAGAGATCAACCGCATTTGCCTGCGGGTCCCGCATCGCTGCTCTTGTTATCTGCAAACTCAAGCATTGCATCAGATTTCGAACATTTCCAGTTGTGACCTTAATTAAGCTTGCTGTTGGAAAACCAGCTTTTAAAATCGTTCAGCAGCAAAATTTATCACATTTCTAATTTGCTCAGTCGCTACTTGTCATAAGCTTCTCACTAGACGCGATTCCAAAACAGACGCTTTACTGCTCTATTAAAGTTCTAGCCCAGCGGAAGGAGAAAGCAGAACGATAATGAACTTGACAAGCTAACGTGTTAACCGCCAGCAACAGTACATTGTACAACTGCCGCGGGCCTTGGCTTTATTTATAAAGCTTTTACTGATTATCTACTTCTGGAATTGGAATGTCAACTACCAAGGTTAGTGGTTTCCCATGGATTTGGCCAACAAGTCAGATGGTTGGTAGTCACATGCAGGACATAGAACATTCCAGAACTTACCAACTCGGCGCCATAATCGACAATAATCGAGTAACCGCTAAAAGGATGGGTTTTTCAGGAAATTCTTACTTTGTTCGGGATAGGTTGTAACGCGCAACTGCCTTGTGTGATCTACTCGCTGCATTTCGCTAGCTGGTATGTCAATGGTGTCATTACTTTTTAGCAAGGCATCAGGGAACCTTTTGCTATACTAATGAAGGTTTCCCTGCAACCCGATCTGTCTTCCGAAATTACTCTCCGGGCTTCCGCTAAAGTCTACTCGCTAAGAAGCGAGGTACACCATTGGTGACATGAAAAACTGTAGTGACCTGGAGATTTTCCGTATGACTGTGTAAACTATTCTAAAATATATTTAAATTATAGCTTCCTTATGTATTAGGAAATTAGGCGGTTCGCCTGTTGGAACGTTGTTCCCGTTTGTTTGAAACACGAATACGATATCCGCGTTTGACACGCGACTCGACTGCGAATGGCGTTCCGTCCACGCACTCGACGCCCAACTACATCCTCCCTAGCTAGCTCACTTCTAGTGCCCTATTTTCAACATTAGCTAAACCTCTCGTGCAATAAACTTTACCCCTAGCTTATTTTTGTGTTCTACCCATTGCTCTTGGTTGGCATTCTTGTCTCGTACAGCATGTGTAGCGCATGTTCATCGCGCTATAAATAGAATACAATCAAATAGTCGCGGACTAAGTGAAAATTATCGCTGAAGGCTTAGGCAACTGAATATTGTTTTAATTACTCAAGGTGAACGGGTTTCACTTGCGTATTTATCTGACATCATTAACGGAGAACTAAAACGCTGCTCAGTAAACGGAGGTCCATCGGCCGATCGGAAGCACACCCAACAATCAAATTATTCACAGAGTGGCCGAGAACAGAAGACGAACGAAAACCGAATAGGTGTGAACATAGGATAATTGCGTTAAATCAAATGTACAATGTACGATATAAAGGAAAATAGGAAATTACAATGAAAGACGTAAAGGTTTACAAAAACGAAGACATGTTTTCTGGAACTTCAACCAAGGTTCCTGCTTCCCTCCTCCATTCACTTGTGTACAAAAATTGATCACAAATGTGTATATGCCAACCTATGCACCAACTTAACGAATCCGATTACGCTATTACAATACTATTCATTATAATTATGTTTCAAAGTTGTTAATTATTATTTGCCTTACTGAAGTTAATTTTCATTGTTATAACAGTTAATTGGCTTTCGCGTTGACTATAGCTGCTAATGAACGTTTGTATAAAAAACAATTAGAAACTCATGAGCTGTTGTTAACGTTTAGTGCATTTGTTAAAAGTACAAAGTGCTCTATGTCTAACATAGGACCGCGTGATATTTTGCGTAATACTTTATATCCATTTCCAAATTTGTCATTTGAACGAAGAATGATAACAACCTGCGCGACACATCCATTGAAAATAAATGAAATAATATATTCACAGGCAATGTGCGTAGACGTACAGCCAACTTTTAACGTGTCAGAACGGGTGCATTTAATTCAACTAATCGGAGAGAGTTAATTTCGCGGGTATGGAAAACCAAGGTTGCGGAAAAGGAAGATTGGTAGGCAATCCTGAGAGTTAGGACTTGAGCGTACTTCAGAGTATTCTTTAATCAATGTCATGAACTCGAAGTATTCTAAGGTAGCACATGATAATAAAGGTCACTGTTAAGGTCTGGGTTAGGTTCGCACTTAGCAGTTAATCCTAATTTTTCCCAACAATCTTATAACATATACTAATTTAAATCTTTAAGGACTATTGATGCTGTATTGCGCTTATGCACAGCTTGCATACTGACAAATGTGAAGTATCTGTAGTAATCTTTGTAAAAGCGGAAACACAAGACTTACATTTTAAACCCCTGCAACCCGTGAAACCGACGTCAGATCACAATCCAAAATACTGCTTCAAAACTGTATAATCATTTAACCTTTATTTAATGACTTTGAGATATGTAAACAAAATACTACTGTGGACTACTAAGAATAAGCTACCAGCCTCATTTGGTTGCGCTCCAATTTAATATCAGCATTAAGAATGAATGGATTCTCCTAACGACCACACTTTCACCCTACACTTTAAGATAATCGAATCGCCGAGCACTTCTAAGGTGAACCAACCGACTGTGGTTGAGTGGCTGTGGTACATACGGGAAGCAGACGAAGGTTTCAAAACGGTGTTTTGTGCCTTAATAGAACTATTGTATTTGCCTTGCGTTCTCCAAACTTGATCCGGTACGCGCTTACCAGCAGATCCCGGGAGCCGACGAAGACATAGCTTAAACCGCTGTCATTACACGTTTTGGTTTGTTCGAATTTCTTTGCATGCTTTTTGGTTTGCGCAAAGCGGCGCAAAACTTTCAGCGTTTTATAGCTTCCGTCAACCGTGGATTAGAATTGGTCCAGCTTTATATCGACGATATATTAGTGGCTAGCGGATCCGAGGAAGCTCATCGAGAGAACCACAAAATCCTCTTTTGAAGCCGCAGCTAATTGTCTCACTTTCAACCCAGACAAGTGTACCTTTCAGCAGCCGTCCATAGAGTTCCTTTGTCAGCGCATTGATCAACCTGGCATCCGGCCTTTAGACGACAATTCCAAGCTATCCGTGACTTTCCGTTTCCGAATACGGTATCTGCCTTTAGCCGTTTTAGCGGCAAGATGTATTACCATCGAGGATCTCTTCCGCATTTCGCTGATTTGCTCAGCCCGCCAACCGACCTACTCCGTGGTCGCAAGAACGGGGCTGTAGAGCTTACTACGCCACTATTAAAGCATTTAATGTCGATAAAGATGTTTTAACCGCCTCAGTTGTGCTTCATCATTTGGACGCCAATGCGCCGCCTAGCAGTACCGTCGACGCATTGAGCACCGCTGTTGGCGCGATCTTACAGCAGATGACTAATGGACGTCGAAAAGCACTTGCATTCTATTTGAGACGCTGGCAACCTGCAGAACATTTTGCAGCACATTCGGCGGAGGATTATTGGATGTTTACACGGCGATCCGACACTTCCGACAGATACTGCGTGGTACTCCTTTTGTCATCTTCACCGATCATATGCCCTAAACTTTCGCCTTTCAAAAGCAGTCAACCCGACCTTCACCGCGCGAGGTTCATCAGCTGGATTTCATTACTCAATTTCGGACTGTTATTTAACACATTTCCTGTCAACGGAACGTTGTCGTTGACGCTCTGTTAAGAGTGTCTGCAATTAGCTGCGCCCAGCAGGTAATTGATCTACTTGCCATAGCAGCTGCGCAATCAACTGATCAGAGCTTTACAGAGCTTACCGATTCTTCCTTGAAAATATCTCCGTAACCCCTGTCATCATCCGATGACACGACCTTATGTGGCACTTCTACTGGACGACCTCGCCATATCGTTCCTAAAAGCTTTCGTCGTCTTATGTTGTCAAGCTCCGCAATATTGCCCATCTAGGCATTACAGCCACGGTCAAGCTTATATCCGGTGGTTATGTTTGGCCTGGGATACAACGTGAACAATGAACAATGAACAAGGATTTATAACGGGTAAAATAGCATATGCTTGACAGGTCCCGTAGGGTGGTTAGAGCAATAGATAAAATGGAAGGATACTCGAACAAGTAAATCGTTTTTCAAGCCTCTACATAATGATAGTTTGAAGTATGGACTGGATGTCTGCACCCAAAGTAGAGCTGTTATATTACAGCAAATGTGGGAAAAAGAAATCAAAGAAACGGATAACGCTCACTCGTGTATTGTTTCCGTTGAGAGAGGTGGTACGTTACTTCAGTTTGTATACATCCATGTCGTTCATTGGGACACTTCTGTATGTAACATCACCGCCACTTTGCGGGGAGGGTCAGTAACCTCATGGTTTGGGTCTCGTTATTTCATCCTCCGAATAGGACGTGCTATGCCAAATAATGCAAGTTGGAAAGTGTGTCATCTAGGCGTTTTTTAAATAGTGCCAATGTGGGGGCAAGGACGACGTGAGTGGGGAGCACATTCCAAGCACGGGACACACGGAGTGAGAAAGAGTTTCGTCGACAATCAAGTCGGCTGTAGTGTGTAGCCAGTTTGAGCTGATGACCTCACAGGTTGGTATTTTGGCTCAGCTGCAAGAGACTGCGACATGGGTGATTTGGATTCATCAGTATTAAGTAGACTATGATGAGGTCTCCTCGGTGACGACGATATTCACCACTGTACAATCCCAGAGACTGCAGTCTGCGTTGGTAGGGGATGTGAAACAGGCCTCTGACGAGCTTCGTTGCTCTACGCTGTGGAGCTTCAAGTGCACTGATGTCGCGCTTGCGCCAGGGACGCCAGGCCTGATCGCATACTCCACGTGGGGTCTCACGTAAGCGCTCAGCATTTGCGGAAATACAGATGGCTCGAAATTTCCGAAAGCCCTCCGTAAGAGTCCGAGATGTTGACTGGCCCTTTTCGATGCCTTTTCAGCTTGTCTGGAGCAGCCAAAGTCGTCCTGCACGATCACTCCGAGGTCGCATTCCTGGGAAGCATGTTACAACGGCTGGTCCCCGAGTAAGTATTCATGGATGAGCTGGTGGCGTAAGCTCACGACTTTACACTTGGCGCCATTGAAGTGCAGCATGTTTTCGGATGACCAAGTGTACGCCCTGTCCAGATCGCTCTGCAGTGTTGCGTGATCGTCCTCTGTCCGGATGTCATGCCAAATTTTGACATCATCTGCAAACAGCAAGAAGTTCGACTGTAGTACACTGGCAAGGTCGTTAATGAATGTTAAAAATAAACGTGGCCCCAATACTGACCCTTGTGGCACACCGCACTGGACGTCAATTGGGTCGGGCATGGAGCTGCGGACGCTCACATGCAGCTGACGTTGAGTGAGAAAGTTGGCGATCCAACCAAGCACTGGGTCACCGATTCCGTAGCCTCGAAGCTTGTGTAGGAGGATGCGGTGGTCCAAACGATCGAACGCCTTCGAGAAGTCCAGGTAGACCACGTCGACTCCAAATCTAGCATCAGCTGACTCCGTCCAGCTTGCTCGGGCCAGCAGCAGGTTTGTGGTGCAGGATCGATTTCGGCGGAATCCGTGTTGCTGTGGCACTATGATATTGTTGTTCTCCAGATATCCCATCAGCGCCTCCGCAATTATACGTTCCATTACTTTGGATAAAACTGGGAGGAGAGTGATTGGACGGTAGTTCGACGGCTCCGCACGATTACCGCTTTTGTAAATGGGAGTGACTAGCCCATGTTTCCACGTTGTGGGAATCAGCATTTCGTCAAGACAACGTTGAAAGAACCGAGATAATGGTTCGGCAATGTTTAGGGCCGCTGCCTTCAACGCCTTCGGTTTAATATCGTCTACGCCTGGCGAGCTGTGCACACGCAACGACATTAGCGTTTTCAACACATTGGTTGCCGTGAACGATACGTTGTGTAAACCTGGGAACGGTGAGAGCTCTGTCAAAATCGGGTGAAGGGATGGTTCACTCCGGAAAGTATGGAGGAAGTGTTGACGAAACACGTTGGCCGCGTCCTGTACAGTTTGCGCATGACCATCGGTTGCACGCAAGACCGGGATCCCGCGCTGCACTCTACGGAGTTTGTTGATATGTCTATACAACAGCTTTGGATTTTTGCTGAATTTCGCCGCTAAGTTCTGTTGGTGCTGGAGTTTGTCTGCGCGAATCAACTTGACGCAGTGGTTTCGTTGAGTTGTGTAGACTCCCCAGGTCAGATTACTTGGGCAAACTTTGTAAGCGTGCCAGGCCGAATCTCTTAAGGCCATAGATTTTCTCGTACGGCTTCTTAGGAACGAATCCACTTGCTTCGGGCGAAAGGCCTTGCGTTCTGATGCATTTGCCCCTAGCTCAGTGAATTTGGTGACAAACACCATCCAAGCCTCATCGGGCGCATTCTCCGTCAGGAAGGACCAGTTGGTGTCTTGAACAAGGTTAGACAAGATGTCGTAATGTGTAACCATATAAGTTTCCTCGTCGTTCTCTCTAACGTACTCCGAATAACAGATGTAACGAAAGTGCAAAGTCGCGTGATCACTACGACCTAGTGGTGTAGCTATGGTAACGGTGTCAATCATTAGTTCCTCGTTGGTAATCACAAGGTCCAAGACAGAGGGGATGTCACCCGTTCTGAAACGAGTGGGGGAGGTGACATTGTTATACAGTGGTACATCGGTAATCAGTTCTTGCAAATCAGCCTTGAACTGTTCGCTGGGCGATGCTGGAACTTCGAGTGCGTGCAGATTGAAATCCCCCACCAGAAGAACGTGACTGTGAGGACGTGTCAATACTCGTTTCATCGCAGCAGCAAGGCCTTGATCCATTTCCAAGGTAGACTTTGGAGGACGGTAAACTATTGCTAGCAAACACACATCGCCACGTCTCAGGTGCATACGACACCAAAGAGAATCGTTGATGTTTGCTTCTGAGTCATCAATGATCTCAACATGTAGGTCGGATCGATAATACAAAAGCACTCCGCCTCCTCTGCTAGGCCGATCTTTTCGTAAGGAACTCATGCCAGGTAGCGCAATCTCGGCACACGCTTGTCTTACGAGCCATCAAGCCACCATTCCGTGGCACGTATCTGCTCCACTTGGTCGCCTCTTGCCCGGTTCAAC